TTATTCTCGATCTCCGTGTCCCTACGCAGGTGTGCGACTCTCGTTGTGGAACCGGGTTGTACGGGGACTTCAACTGCGACTGGCTGGGTCTTGGCTTGACTTGTCGTCGGTGTTTTGAAGAAACGTCGGTGGCCCAATTTGCGGACAGCATTGCCAAGACTCGCGGCCAAAGAGTGATACTGTGCGCAACGCACGAGCCCCCGTTATCGGCCGTATCCCTCAAGAACCACATCGAAGCGACGCTGGGGCATGGCGGCGGTGGTGGTGGTGACGCGAATGCTTCAACAACTTTTCCCCAAGAGTCAGACAGAAGTGATCACTCAACAGCGGTATACGTGGGCTCTACGACGACCAACCAGATGTGCGTGTTCTTGCGCGGATATTTTGATCTCCTGGCAGAGGCGAGATTGTCGGTTTCGAGCGTTCTGGAGTTCATGCCGGGAATGCGCGTGGCTGTAGCCACACATCCGAGGGATTTCCAAGTATTCAACAGGTGCGAACACTCTCGCAAGCATCCTTCCGATTTATGAGGAGGAAGTAAGCACGCGCGTTCGCAACAACGAATATTCTGTCTACACCTTCTTCTACCACGCAGCAAGCTCTAACCCTTTAGGTGGAATTTCGTTCAACGCTGTTTCGGTGGCGATGTGTGTATCTCGGTCAACCATCGGCCTTCACGGGGTATAGAACAATTATACCCCCGTGGTTCAGTCCGGCACTATCCTCCCTCGACGCGCATTCCACCCAATATGACGTTCAAAGCCGTGGCCAAAAGCTGAACTGAGAATAGGTCACTGTGGCAGTGAATCACGCCCAACACGGTTGTCTTAGGCTTGTCAACCATCACATCGCCAACACGAAGAAAGACCCTCCCCCCCAACACACAAGTCTTCATGGCTCAGAGCGAAATGCTTCGTGTAGTCGGATATTTGGTGCTGTTTGCATGGACCAACGACGGCGCAGAAGGAATCGTGTGGCGTTGTTTCTGTGCATGGCTACTATGCTGGGGCAAATATTGCACCCCAGTAGGGCGAGCGGACAGAATGTGACGATAAGGAGACGAAGAGGTAGAATAAGGTTGAGGTGGAGTGTTGCTGCTCCGTGTTCAATAGACATATCGAATTGGAGCGATTTTTTAGGGTATGGGGTGGTACAAGGACGTGTTGGATACCAAGGCGTTAGTCGGTGCCTCGCGATTCTGCAACGGCCTGAAAACTCACCAGTCCAATAACGAAATAAATGGCGGTGAAGGATGTATCATGCTGTCCGAAGCTCCTTGACGATAGAGCACACCTCCACCGCGATTCAGGTCTTCATCCTGCGCGGTTTCTATTTTCGATGGTAGAAGTACGTTGATGACGCACCCGAGGCAAAGAGCGATATTGACAAGGGAAGGCGCACCCAAAAACGTTCTCAGGAGTTTCAAACCGTGCAACGTTTTTTCGGCCAACACATGGAAGAACGGGCGCAAAATATCGCAAAATGTTCCTTACCATGGTACAGGCATGCGTCTGCGACGTTGAAATGACGCTTCTTCGAGGGTTGACTTGATATTGCATGTCATCCACATTCTTTCGAGGGCCTATACTCCTAATCTCATTGGCTGATACCCATGCCCCCGCTGCATCTATCACGCCTTGATTGCGCACACGTGTGTTGTCGTGCTGCTGTGCGACACAGGACACTTGGATATCTGCCAGACGTTACAATCGGAAATGCATCCAGCGTCGAGCACGGTGCGCTGATCGCGGACCAAATTTGCGGCAACGGAACACGCCTGATCTACTATATGAATGTCGGCGAGGTGCTCAGTCGCACGTTTACAAGGAAAGACACGCACGGGATGCTGGGGGATCTAATTGTGTCGGCTACCGACAGCGCACAAGTCCCCTTGGAGCACGCACGCCGTGCAGCAGGCAGCGCCGTTCTTCTGGGTTTCACCACGCCTTCATTTACGTATGGGACTGATCTCGTCCTGCCGGCGGAAACGAACGAACAGCTCCGAGCTGTGTTGCACACGAAGGAAAAACTGAACGAGTTGGTTGTGGTGCAAGCGCAAGGCAAGCACCGGCGATCCAGGAGAAAGCTAGGATTCATGTTTGAGTACTTGGCTTCGGTGGCTCACTCCCACAGGGACTCCGCCACAATCTACATTCCGGAGGTAGGAGAGGTGCCCAGCGTTCGCCGTTGATGTGGATCTCATGGGCATCAGTTGATATGCCCCCCGATACCCCTTCTCACACTCGAACGTCAGGGATGTTCTCGTCCTTAGTCCCTGCAGAGCATTCTGGTCCATATTGCTTAAAAAGCCGAATGAGAGAAGAGGGCGACGCGAACACAAGCAAGCGTAGACTGCGTAGAAGTGCCAGAGTTGTGGCCACGACGTTTCTCAGCGCGGGCGTCAGACCCGAAAAACTCGATATCGTTTATGTGGCAGTCCCCCTTTGCACCTCACGCCTACGTCGACTGTGCATCCGAATTATTATCTCAGACTAGTCAACTACTGTCGCCGTCACGAATTCCTGCCAGGTGCTGGCTGCCTTGGCTCATTCCCGCCGCGCTAGTGGTGTGACGTTCCTTGACATGCACCACTGGAGTAGGAAAAACCTCTTTTCGGAAGCGTCAATTTGGGACATCCCACTGGTAAAGCCTCGTTTCGGCTGTGCCTTTGATACGTCTCTGAGTTTGAAAGGGTACGACATGGCATCCGTAATAGCCAAAGAGCTCGAAGCTTTCAAGTTCGGAGCAACGTGCGAGCTCGGCTTTGAGTCAGTTGAGATCTCCGAACTTGGCGTCAAAGCTGACTGGGAGTTTGGCGCCAAAGGAACAAACCAGAGCATGCCAAGCTTGCACGACTACAACGTATCGGTACTGTATCAGGCGGTAGCGGCACATGAAGACCTCTTTAAGATATCGATCGCCACGGTAATAGAGCATTTTCCGAGTGCATTTGAAGTGGTTGTCGTTGTCGCGGACGCCGATGTAGCCCTTTTCGAGGGCATCGTCAACCCATTTCGGGCCACGGCACCATTTCCAATTCGTGTCGTCGGAGAGCCAGAGCTGATGGACGGCACGGTTCAGCAAACGTACTCAAAGGTAAGCAATTTTTGTTTTGTCATCACCACTTATCAAATGACATGTTAGCATGAAAACGAAGATTGAAGTCCATATTTGGGCGCGGCCGCAGAGCGTGAGCTACATGTAGTGCCGGACTGTTGATGTGCTTGAATTCTGGCCGCACGATGTTGAGGTTATGACCGTGCCCAGGGTCGGGGGAATCGTGTCTCGGACGACTTGTACAAAACGTGTTCCCTTTTCACAGCGCGAAGTTTCCCTTGACTCCGTACCGAACAACAATTTGTGGGTGCGTAGTTATTACTGATCAACTGTTATGGTATGAAAACACCAAGTTCGGTTGCCCGTGACCCTTCCTGCAGTTTCCGTTCCCAGCCTTTGAAGGTCGATAAAACACATTTCAGCAGTCCTCGCAAGAGGTCAACGAGGACAATCCTGAAAACCGGGGGCAGTAAATAAAGCAACAGAACGCATTCGCGCGGTTGTGTTTCAGTGTGTCCACTAGTCGGGTTGTGCTCCACTAGTCGGGTTGTGTTCAAAGGGACTCCGAGTGCTCTCTAATGCAACTTATATCAGAGCGCGTGGGGCATGGCGTATAGCAGATCGAAGTTGAAATTACTACAAGCGCTCAACACCGGACTTACACTTGCCCCTGTTTCGCCAACCGCATCCTCTGACCGAACCCAGTTGAGGGCTGACTTGTACGCGAATGGGGAATACGTTTTACACCTGGATTCGGATGCGGTCGTCTTCGAGGATGTAACGTACGCGCACATGTTTCATCTCGGCAAGCCGGTGCTACCATTCCGTCGGTACGGGAAAAACGGAGGAGGAGAAGGTAAAGTGCACGAGATGCATGGTCACAATCTGGCCTTCGCGGCGTGGCATTAGACGACATGTGTGTTCATGAACATCGGTCATTTCCGAAGCAACGACCAATTTCGAGATACTATTGTTTTCCCGCCCTTGGAGGAGGGTCGACGCTATATGCAGTTTTACAGATATATTTTTTCACTATTTGTCGCACAAAAAAGCGCCGGTGATTACCCCCTCCTGTGTGACCCTGGATGGTTGTAGTTGTACGAAAAAGTAGATTCTAAAGTATAGTACTCTGCATACACTAAAGCACGTGTACCACGTCCCACCACGAAAAATGGGGGGACTGCCGCCAAAATACTTAGAATGAAAACACACACACACACACACACACACACACTCGTCAATGGAACAATGAGGAACGTATGTAAGTCGCTACCTTTCGACCTCGGAATCCAAGAGGGATTCCTCGGAACTTAGATTCGCTGCTTCTGTGCTAACTCTCTGCTGCCTTGATGATCGACCCGACAACCGAGGGAAAGCGTACCGCCGACATACTGTCCTGGCAATCGCCCTTCGGGGAATTCTGGGGTGCATGTTGTTCAGAAATCTTTGCGCAAAGCCTCGAAGTGCTGTTCTTCGGACTCAATTCCCATGGGGCCGTTGCCAGACAAGTGCATTGCGCCACGCGTCCGTAGGGCATGCATAGAATTTCTAACGGTTGGCGCGTGTTTGCCTGGATTCGAGCAGGAATGATGAGCACAATATGCTGGCAGAGAGGGACATCGGTTTCGATTGGGGAAGACGTCATCCACGAGTTCAGCATCTTCAACACCAACGTCTACCCGCGACACATGTGAGGCGGCATCAATTCTGCTGGAGTCCACCATGCAATGGGCGATGGTGATGCGGATCTGCCAAGTGAACATTTTTCCAAGCCATCAACCGCCCATGGCTTTTGACGCAGATACACGTGTTGGTCTCTCCAAAAAAACGAAACCAACCTAGGCACCCTCGCATGTCCATCCTCGGGTATCCTATTGGGAATCCCCTTGCCGAAAAGCTGCTTGTCACCGTAACAGAGGGACGTGTCGCAAGTCATATACTTCATGCACGAGCTGCACATTCGCTTTGATGCTCTGAAGGTGAGCGAACCAGCAACTGGTTGGGATAGAAACTGTGCTTCTGAGGAGCTCCGACGCAGGCTCAGTGTAATCTGTTCGATTGTACGCACACGACTAGACGAACCACGCGCGGCTTGTAACCCATGGCCCTCAGGTACCCAGCTGCTCGACGGTTCATCGAGGAGCACCACGGACTGTCGTTCGTCGAGTTCATGCGTACGCGACGCGCATCTTGCGCGTACCCTGACGAAACGGCCAGGTTGACCGCAGACGAGAGAATTCTCATGTTTTCTTTCTTCAACTTCGTCGGAGCGTATCTGTGGTGAGTCACGCCGTCGTGCAAGTGATACTACTGTGCGAAACTTAAACTTCCATACGCGTCTGATGTGGAATTTCGGGCGGCTGGCCACAGAATTTCCAATTTCCAACACAACCTCGGTGTTACATCATACTTCCCTGACCTTATCGGGGTGCGGGGAAAGCTTTCGCGAAGTAAACTTGTACATGTATTATTGTAGAACGTTCAGGGCAAAGCACGTCCCCTACGGACTGAACGCGCACAGGCCTCGTGTCCAAAGAATGACCGGGGCGGGTGCGCGGCACAACCGGGAAGAGGAGAGACACACCCCGACAGCCGATGATTTACGGAATTAGTAATTGATACCACTAAGGCAAAGAAGAGATCCGGGCGGTGGGGTCGGCCGCAGCAGTACTGTAAGCTCGGTCGCCTTTCACGCCCCGCAGAGCGGCGTATCCAACGCCCAACCAGCTAATGACAAAATACGCACCCGTCAGGCGAACGTTGGAAAAAAGAAAAAGAGAGAGAAGGGGGCGGAGGAACGCTGCAACGGCTTGGTATTGAGAAAGCAGGGTTTTCCCTGACATTGGTGAACCATCAACTATGTTGCGCTCTTGTCTAGGTCTGCATCGCAATCGGTCTCCGCATCCACGCCTTTGTTTGACCTAGCAAATAAACATGTTCGAACAGAAATCACTCAGAATGCCATGCTTACTGTTCCCACACGTTCTGCAACCGTGGTTTTGTGCCTTCCCAGCATGACACGGGTAGTTGAAGGACGCCGTCCTGTCCTGCCTGAAATCGACGATAACTGGAAAACGCGTACGTACCCCCGTACGATTGGTGGCACCACAATGCATAACATGGGCGAAATGAATGGTTTCTTTCAGGTATCACATGCGCGACGCCGTCCAATGGCTAGCTGTGGATCCTCACGACACGCAGCCAGATGATTGGCGCCCAGATCTCAGGAAATATTCGTGGGTCTGCCCTACGAGTGAGCTCCATGCTCCGCAAGATCAGGACGGCCTGGAGCAGTACATCGCAGACTACAGAATGGTCAGGACCATCAGCCAGTGCAGAATCGTCATTGCCCACTGGGGAAGACCACATATGCGCACGCCAGACACACGGACACGAATCGACATGACGTCAAAGGAGTGGGGCAAAATTATCTGATTTACAATAGTACCGTAAGTATCGATTAGGTGGCGTATGCAAACTAGCTTGGCGGCTTCCACGGCGCAATTTTTTTCCTGCTACAGGAGTAACCCGGTGCCGACCCCGGTATCTACCGCAACCCCAATAGCCAGGGATGAACCGCCCATCCCGGGGGCTTCCGACATTCGTTCGTTGTGGCTCGGCTGCTCTAGAGAGGTGTGGGTGCAGCTTTCTGCAAAATGGGCTTCTTACAGTTGTTATGATAGCGGTATGCTGCAATGTGGAGCGCTTCGCGGCCGTCCGGAATAGGCTGAAGAGTGATTGATGGGGCTCGAAAACGACCCCCATGACGCAGAAGCCATGGCCTGCCGCTCTGCCGCTGTGGTGATCTGTGTGTCTGTGCATCGCCGTGGTGGTCCGACTTGTGTGTGTTATTGTTGCGTGTAGTGAAAGGGGGGGCAATGGGGTGGGGCGCGACTAGGGCGGAGGCGGGGTGAAGATGAATGACCCCAAACGTCGATGGTTCCCGGCAACCCTGGGACCGGCATTTACCGGTACCGCGATATAGAGATCCCTGATCCTTTTGTTTGGTGATGTATTGATGTTCCCGATTATAGAATTCCTACAAGGTATTTTGAATCTGTTTCTGTTCAGGCCGGTAGCGGTTTCTCGCAGTTGTTGTTGTTGCTGTCGTTGTTGTTATTGTTGTTGTTGTTATTATTGTTGTTGTTGTTGTCGCCACATTTAAAAAACCGTTCCGGTCTCTGCTCTGTACCTTCTAATGTCCGTACTGGTCCAACTGACGCGGACTGTAGAAGCCGGAATCGAACCACTAGACAAGCGTATAAACCACACAAGATAACGCACACCCTGGACCGATATTGAAAGATCTATTTGTCAAAAGCAGAAACAGTCGCAGCGCCGAAAACGGCGGTGTTGAAGCCGTCTCGTCGAGAGCTCTCCGAAAACGTATCGTTTCGTTTATGCATCCCCTTCGTCATGGAGTAATCGAGCTTTGAGCATCGGTTCAGGGGGGGGTGTTATCTTGTGTCGTATCCGGTAGTCAGCGCTGAATGGTCTAAAGGTTTGATTCCGGCTTCTAAAGCTCACGAAAGCTATGCGCACGAGTTCACGGCTGTCCCTTTGCGTGACCTAGAGCTGGACATTGCCTGCTGCTATGTTAAGTTTGTGTATGACCCGCGAGATTGTTTCAGGGCCTGCTTCATAGGAATCTTGCTTGCACCACAGATTTAAGAGGGGGTGTTGATCACATTCAGTGCTGCCGCACCACAGAATAAAGTAATGAAGACATGAACGCTCACGCGAAACACTAGTCGGTGGATAGGAAAGGCTCGGTTGTATCCCGCGAATCTATCACCCCTCAGATGCCATATGCTCAGGTCCCCCGTCGCGATACGGCGTATTGTGTCGTCCCTTCTCGTCCCCCAAGCTTTTCAGAATCGTTCTATTTAGCGGGCCACCACGCTATGCTCTTGTCCGCCTCGGCGCCAACCTCTGTTTTTAGCCATACTCAAATCCGAAAGGGGAAGTGCGCTCAGAGGACCGTACAATCCCGTGTTTCGCAATAGCTCCTAGGCAACCTACATGAGTACTCATCTCGCCGTCGGCTCCCTCTCCGGCGAGACTGAGAATATGGAGACAAGGGTGTTGACAAAGGATAGGCTGCTTGGGGCTCGAGTGCCGACGATGAAGGCAAAGAAAGCCCCTTGCACAGAGCCAAGATACCGCCTGAACAGGAGTTCGCATTCTTTAGCTGCGCCGGCTCTGACGCCAAGGAAGGTCCAACCCGCGACGTGTACAGGCGGTGATTCATATATTGCTCGATGAGTGGAGTCAATCTCAATCTCACGCAACAAGGCCATGGAGGAGGCCAGAGTGAAATATCATCTGACGACGGCGACCTGGAGTGACTCGTTTATGTCGAAAACATTACGGCGACAGCACTTGGTCGCGCGTATTCAAACCCCGTGTACACAACATATATACTTCACGAGTTCGGCCTTCCATCCAGAACCCTTGGGGAGCGCCGGTGTAGGCAAAGTCGGCCTTTCGATCCACTCTTCGCCACCGAAGGGTATTCAGTGAGCGCCCTGTGCATGTTTGGTGACTAGTGTACACGTCGTGCGGAAAGCCTAGAGTCGAAACCGACCGATGAAGGTGCCTCCGAGAGCGTCGTTGAAGGTCGCCTAGAGTACGTTTATAGCGAGGGAGGGGTAAAGGGGAACGTCGATTCAGGACACTCTCGAGAGCATGGTCGATTTCGTGGGCCCTAGGTTCCATAGAACAACCACGGAAAATCATCGATACATCGAGTCAGTCACTTTCGTTTGGGGTAACGTTATCGTGAACGGATGCACAATGAGCCAATAATCCATGCGTGCCTCCGACGCGAACTACTGTACGTTCCAACTTTCCGGCGCCGCCAGGTGTCGCCGATAACTGTTCAGGGCACAACCGGTGGTAGTTCACACGTGACGACTTCTTGATCTAACGTTTGTTTTTTCCATTGCACAGGACGAGGTAGGCACCCGACTCGCTCGCCACGACACTCTTCACGACGGTGGATTCTCTTCGGCGCTTTGGAAGCATAAGATGTGACTCTCAATACTGGGCGTTTCTTCAATTTGTCGAGAATTTTCCAAATATCAGCTCCTCGAGGCGACGTGCAAGTCGTGTGCCCCTGTCAACCATGCCACCTCACCTACAATCCCCATCTTCGGCTTCTGGTCGATCATTTCCACCGCCACCGCCACGGCTGTCGTTGCCGTTGACTCGCCGTCCTCTCTCGCCCGCATCCACCCACGGGCGATACCTGCACACCCCCTTCATGTACAGCTTCGACGGCCCCGTGATTGCTCTGGGTCCTGCTTCCGTCCAACCAGTCCGAGCTCTCCCTTCCGGAGCGTCATTTTTCCCGTCTTGGTCGATGATGCTTTGGCTCAGCTGATGGATGCAGCGATTGATCCCGAGGCCGCCGTATCAGATACACATGTTCGGAATACTCGCAACGCGCGTTGAGCTGTATTCTGAAAAATCACCTGACCTCAGCTGGACGCTTTCCGACGAACTTGTCTAACGGAACCGTTTCCTAGGCACCAGGCACGCTTTCGAATTGAGTGGAGTTTGACTGCCACGAACGCTTCTTTTCTCCTGCAAGCCACGAGTGCCTCCAATATAGCCAAATATCAAAGGTTCGCAGCGAGAATGGCGTAGAGATGAGAACGGATGAAAACTGCGGGATCCGCGTGGACGGAACCCTCTCGGGGCCCCATGCGTGTTTTTTTAACCAGCGACTCAACGTACCGCGTAGTTTCGTAGGGCTACTGGGCCGGCCTTGGCTAAGGCTCTCATGCTCTTGATCTGCCCGTGTACCTCCCAGCTTCGCTTGAGCTCCATCTGGGCCACCTCCCTCTCGGCCTTTTTCCGCGCTTCCTTGGCATCGTAGTCCCGGTCCAGCTGGGAGTTCGCAACAACGCGAGGTGTAGGGTGGGCAAAACCAACGATTTGGGATCCGGGCCAAAACCGCTTTCGATCCTGTGTGGGAAAGACGTCCGTCCGTGATCTTTCTCTGCGAATTCAAGTTTTGATTGTGCGACGCTACTCGCACGGGTGTTCTCCTTCTATTTCATCTCACATTGCACCCAGGTGTTGTGCAACTTCACACAAAGCGATTATTGGGCGCGAGATTTTCGTTACACGACGGTGCCGAACCTTCTCGACGGCAGCCTTCTCTTCGACCAGGCGCCTCCGATTGCCGCGCACTCGTTCCTCTTCTCTCTCCCGAATTTGGCGCTGTAGCATCCAAACAGTGTTGTCATTGTGCTGTCAAAGCGACTAAACAAACAAGGACATATCCGCTCACTCTCTAGGTTTCGGGCGGGTTTTCCGCGGAACACTTCTGTCAAGACCGTATTGCGACGACCATGAAGTCGATGCGGAAAGGAGTACCTACCAAATGCGCTGGCCTTGTGAAACTATTCTCATTGACCAGACCACGATTCCGACGGAACGTGCTATAGTACAAAACGTTTAGAAAGGCGGATCGGGTCTGTATACGAGCCAGGCGAAATATGTATAATAGTCCATGCATTTGTGCCCACAACTTTCTTCATGACGACTAATTGGTGGAAGCGACATAAATCATCGCACCGGGCACATCACAACCCCCAACATACGACGTAAAACGTAAGACAGCCGGATATGTTGCGGAGAGTCTCACTATTAAACTACGTCATCGCGGCGGCCTGTCGTATGTACTGATTTAAGTGTTTGTCCCGGCGTTCCCTAGGCATACTGCCGAACCACATATATCAAAATTACCGCTTCACAGTTTGAAACAGCCAGTCATATTGCGAGAAACGCGAAAATCAGAAAGGCCATCCCTCAGAAAGAAACACAAAAAGCGATTATGATGCCAGACCCGTGGATGTGTCGAAGCGTACCCTACGCAGCCAGGGCGCACCTGCAAGCAGCCTAGGAGCTCGTCGCGAGTAAGGTTGCTCGCGCGAGCTCTCCGCGGGCCCCAGTCCGGGGCACGCCACGCCGTGCCTCGGTACTTCTCGTTAACCGTGCTGGCCTGCCGCCGCAAGAACAAGGGGCGACGCAGATGGCCTTCTTCCCTCATATATTGGCGATTCCATTGTTTGACCGAAGTCGTTATACAGAGCTCAAGAAAGGGGTGCGAAGGCGTAGAAAAACAGCAAATGCTGAAGGGAGTAACGAAACGCCTACTGTCGTCAAATACCAACGGTCGAGGCCGCCTTTGGTGTAGCCTGTGAAGGAAATACATTTACGCTCCCAGAACAAGCTCTTTGGGCAATTCGGAGAGTGGGGTTGAGAAAGCAACACCAACTCGTCCGATTTGACTATTGGCACACCGTGAGGGTGCTGCACCCTTCGTTGGCAATCAAGAGGTGATACGCCCTAGTACTTGTCATCGGGGGATATTGCCAACGAAGGCCTCCGATGGTTGGTACTGGTGGGGGTAGTTTGGGCCCAAGAGCGCTTTGTGTCGGCACCCGTTGCTGTCCTTTTTCTCGTGAACATGCCACCACGCCTCGGGGTGGAAATGGACGGTCTTCCTAAAGTAAAATTGATGGTCTCGTTCCTGGTCTTATTTGCGCCGAATGACGACAGTTCTATTCGCCGAATGACGACAGTTCTATTGCAGATCACCACCACCAACTTGAAGGTCTCCACGCTGTACGTTCCTCCTACGCCATGTCATCATGAAAAACAACATAGAGTATCTCCTGTTTCGTCTTGTGGGGCAGCTTGCTCTACATTTCGTGTGAGAGATCGCGCCCGACTAGGAGGACGGTCCTCGTTCGACATATCTCTGCCTTTCCGAGTTGGGCAGCGTACAGTAGTTGGAAGGGCACACCATGATGCACTCACTGCCCAGAGACCTCGCCTCTGGAATTCCACATTTGCTGCAGTTTACCCCTCTTTCTCGGAGGGAATATTCTTCATCTCATCTGACGGGTTCGTTCTATTCATTTCAGAAAGTCATGGTTATGGAGAAGGGTTTTACGTGTAACATTTCCACTTATTATTCAACGAAAACACACTCCAATCGAGAACGCACCCGATCTCTGCGAGCGCTGAATGTTAGTGGCTTATCTCCGTTCCTCTTGCTTTCCACCTCCAGCGCACGCCGGTCTTCGATCTCTACTCACAGAGAGCACGTGGCAGCGACGCCGTGGGCCAAGTGAAGGAGTTGAAACAACATCACGAGAGGCAAAGCGAAACAAACACGGTACATAGGTCACACTACTACAATGGCTACGTGGTTCATAGGTAACCCGCTCGTGGCCTTCTGACGTGTGGGCGTGGGTTCGAATCTCTGTGCACTCACACGAACTGGGATTTTTCATGACAACATACCCAAACAATGTGGAAAGCAATAACTTTATGTGCACGCAAAAATTCGGCTCCACAGTCTACGAGGGAAAGGAACGGCTGAATCCTTCTCGCGAAAAACCAAGGTAAGCACCGCCAGAAGGAAGGCGGAGAATACAACTCCTGTGTGACCTTCTTCCTGTATGACCCCGGTTGGTGCGTCCAGAATTGTACCGAAGCGAGTAAGGACCGACCTCCAGACCAAATTGGGATAACAAAACACACACTGTACTGTAATTCAAGGCTTTTGTGTGTTTGTGTCGCGTAGGCGATTATCAAACTTCTTTGTCAAGCACTGGGCGCTTCGAAGTTGGCCTTGCTTGGAAGGTATTTCCTAGCTCCGGTTGACGTTGGTGTTTTGCTGGTGTTTGGTTGATACTGTTGGTCCGGTTGTTGTTGCTGCTGTGACTTTCACGGACAAAACAACGTTCTGTCATCTGTATTCAAGGGAGATGTACGAGGTTTGTTTTCGTCGTCTCCAAGGCAATCCAAAATAGTACAACAACAGAATTCTCTAGACAAGGTACAAGCTAAGGAAAAACCTCAAGAGTTCCGCCACTTGCCAGATCGTCGTGTAGGATTCAAACCTGAAAACAAATTCCGTTGTACTCTTTTGTGACTCGGCGAGTTGGGTTTCTGCAACTCAAGTGCACTTTCGCTTGAAGAAGAACGCAGAATTATACTCAATTTATTTCTTGCTGAAACCCCGCAAAAGAAGCAACTGCGATTATGGACTCGTCCTTCGGACTCCCTGATCGACAACTTGAAGTCATGCGCGTCGTTACCATGAATTTGTCCTTGCACAAAGGTGAGCAAGTCGTGCATCTCGCGCTGTTTGTTCTCGCGCTCCACTGCCTTCCTCCTGTCCTCCGCTAGCTGCAAGAGTCTTGTCCTGTTGGCAAGGTTCTGGTGGTGGCGGTTTTCGCGCGTGACACAACAATATACAGCAAGGCGTAGGCATGAGACTGCTCGCGTTCCAAACATCTTTCTGGTCAGTGTTCCGGGAGATCGACGTCGTATTGTGAGCCAGACAGCTCTTGCGGTGATGGTTCTCCGACATTGCCATCGTCCATACAGTGTTCCGTTGCTGGACGTTACGTGCAATGTCATTGAGCTTGATGTGGTGAATGAAGGGCCACGAAGGGCCATGATGGTTTCAACGAGGCAATCCACGGCGGCGGGCTCGGTTTGGGAATGATGCCCCAGTGAACGATCGATTTGAGAGGTATCACCACGGAAACAGAGGGAAAACACGCACACGTCTAGTTTCGTGATGGAAATAGTTTTTTCTTTGGAGGGAAGCACAACTGCGCACTCGTGGGTGCCCCCCCCCCCCCTCCTCGCCCCTGTTTGAAGATCACCCGGATGTCTTACCATGTCATCCTCGGCTAGACCCTCCAGTGCAGTCACATGGTCTCGGAAAGCGGATTCCCAAACCTGCAGCCCGTTGCGGGGACGCGAAGCGCGAGACCGTACGACGAGGAATCTAGGATGTTATCAACGAGTTGCGAGATGTTCTTATCGCGGTTAGGAACGCGGCCTGATAACAATACCAGGGAGTTGAGCTGTAGTACCATGGGAAATCCCTGACTAGGAGACGATATTCTCTCCACCGCCGTCACGGAATGCACCAGATGCGTGGGACTTCGACTCGCCTTCTCGCGCGTTTTGCACCTCTTGCCGGACCCACGCTTCCTTCCCCTCTCCGCCGCAACCTCCTGGGCTCTCTGCCTCTCAACCTCCTCATCGAACTCCTTGCCGAGCACTCCCTCCCCAGGGCAGCGGCCACCACCTCCTCCATCATCGTCGGTTGGCGGCTGGTTCCAACCATCCCGCTCCGAGATACCCGTGCAAGGTGTACCAGGTGGTGGTTCGGCATTCCTGGGATCGTCGTCGTTATAATGGTGATGGCCGTCGTCGCTGCAGTTGCGGGCTCCTAACCCGCTCCCAGCAGGGCGTCGCGGCGATAGCCCCGAGGATGATCTGGATCTGATCGAAGGTGTCCATGAGGGCGGAGGGAAATACAGCTCGAAGGCGTTCGATGCGTACGGGGGGGATGAAATCAGGCTAACTGTGGCTTGGGATTCGGCTGCACAGCAGTGACAGACGGCTTGTCCGAGGCGTGGTGTGCGGCGCCGCGCGACCTGGACACTGGCGTGCCCTCTGGCCAGGGGGTGATTTTCTGAGAAGGACATATATACCTCTGGGTGAGACGAGCCTCACCGCCCCTGTTCTCACGGGAAACCTCGATAGTATTGCCACGGATCTCTACGCGATTCTGTCAAAGGGACAAGCACAAAAGTATGATATTTCTCTGCGCGGCTCCCTATGAGGGACAAAAAAACTAGAATATTTCTCTGCATCGACGTTTGAGGCCATGTAGCTCACACGAGCCGCCTGTGGAACTGCGTAAAAGCATCGCGATCGTCCACCAACGCTGTAAACTCCATGCGGAAAACTGCCAAACTCTTACTCTCTGCTGCTTCACCTGCCGGTAGAAAGCCCGTCCCACTCCTCCCGCTCCCCGCGCTCTCCACCGCAGCTGCTTGAGGTGTCCGTACGCGTGGTGGTGCTCCCGTTCCGACAGAGGGCCGCGCAGTCGAACGTGAACTGGAACTTTCTTTCCTTGACCTCGAGAGTGCCGAAGGAAAACACCACGCTTACCTGACCTCCCGATGACATCGCATCTCCTATCTGACAAGAAATCGACGCGGGGAAATTGCCTTCTCGAACGCTGAAGTGTCGACGAACAAGTCGAGGGGGGCTCGTGGTGCCTAGGGAAGATGGGGATACCACACGTCTCTGCCAGGGATGCAGACCGAATGCCAACTGCTGTAAATAAACATTCTACGGCGCAACGGTATGTGTGAGCAAGGAGGGGGTTACGACTCTTTTTCCATGAGTTTTTTCAATTTCCCCTGGGTTAGGGGCAAGTGGGAGATCTTTAGCCTTCCTCCTACTGTAGTGCTGCTTCGCTGAGTGCCATGAGCCTTGGCGTATCGCAATCCCAGCTGTGTCTACATCATTGCATTGGGAAACAGAAACAAAGTGAGTTGCTCACCCCTCGAAAGACTTCTCGCAGGGCGCCGTAGACCATGTCTTTGGTCATGAAAGTCGTGTAGCGGATGGCAAGCTTGGAGTAGTTCACCGCTTCCGCCGCCTTTCTAAACAGCGGGGGGCGAAGAATTCGCTTGTGCGGGAGGTCGTGCGCGCGGCAGAATCCCTCGTTGAGGATGAAAACCGGCCGTAGTCGCATCTGAGCAACGCGGGCGGCTCATAGTTTAGTTTCGGGCATGTTTTAACCTCGATTCTGATTTAGTTGTCCGATTTACCATCGGTTCCGGAATCTGTCAGAAGTCTTCTTCCGTTCTTGGTCTGTTGAGGTCGAAAATATTTCGTTCTGTGCCTGTGTACCAGGTCATACGAGGGTTGTCTCTGCTGGCATTATTCATCACACGCTGTTGTCGAATCACGAGAGAATAGTTGTCCGGACGCGTTGTTTTGCTGTGGACATGACGGCGTCAACACTTCCCACAGGAGTGCGTCTGACAGGCCTCCTCACGCGACGCGAATAGAACTTACAGTAGCAAGGATGCACAGAGGTGAGATCCCTGACTCGACGCAATACCCACATCTCCGGTGCGACCAATGATAAGAGCACGTCGACAGATGTAGATATAGTCTATGGGTTTCCAGTGAGCAACATACACGAATCGACGTCCGTCCTCAAGCGGCAGATATTCCTGACACGGAAAGCTTGTCAAAGCACCAACTGTACACCGCTAACTGTGCAGGTACGTGTCTAAAATGCCACGATGTTAATGCTTCTGTTTTTGGGTGCCTTCAGGACGTAGTATCTGTTGTCGTTGAACTCACAGTCCCTTCACGACGCCGAAAATGCTCGCGACAGCTTCAAAGCAATCCTTCCGAAGAGTACTACCTTTGCCCTCTAGCTTTGCGGCAGGACAATGAGGCACGCGTATTGCACTGGCTACGATTGCCGTCGGGGATACTGCAAGGAAGAGGTAGGAAGAGCAACGGCGAGGTCTTCCTCTTGTTGTGGCCGAATTAGTCTAAGTCCTGCAGTATAATGCCGCCCACAATACTGCGCGCCGATTATTCCGCGGCACAACCAGCGACGTCTAACATTTACTGCCCTGCAACCGATGTGCCCCCTGCGGGGCTTGCATGTCCCATCACTTTCTGTACTTCCCTCGCATCCGTCACTCGTGCATACGGCATTACTTCACCCTTATCACTCTGGCCGCCAGGCCCATCGGGGGATACGGCAGCCCGACCCCCCCTAAAGGTCTACACTAGACTATTTACAACTACTTTCGTCCCAAAGTGCTTTCATTTTGTCCGCGGATTTGTACATGGGATTATCATGTTTTACAGGACCAACCGAGAGCTGCTTGAGGTATGAATCTCCAGGTTGCGTTGTGAACCCATCAATTATGAACGTAGACTACTTCTGTCTATCGTAATTACCGCCGTACAATAGTCTACTGCTGTAAATAGTCGTCTGCGGTTGTCTACATGAAGTAGACTATTCAGCAAGCAGTGATGCGCATGTTTCTATTTTGTTTTACAATGTGCGTCGCTTGAAGTATTTTGCTCTTCCCCCGGCCTTCCGTACTTCAGTCCCAACTCACCTCCCCATCCAAGGTGCGAAAACGCTGCCATCCGACCCGCATGAAGTTTGGGACGTCTACGGTTCCCCTATCGACAAGTATTTCCATGGCCCACTTGTTGAGAATGTCCCATGCCTTCCTGAGGAGCGTGCGTGATCTCCCGAACTGACATGATCCCGCAGGAATAGCTGCCGGTTGAACTCGGATGTGATCGCAACGAGCGTTGTCGAGGATGGTATCTATGGTTGCTACACCGGTGCTAGAAACCATGGGCACTCTTCGTATGCACTGCAAGTCAATGAGTAGTGCGTCTACAACCCTCTGCTGCGGATCTGTGGGTTGTGCGGCAGACAAAAATCAACATGACTATGAAAGTTGCGTGTGGCCAATCGATTGGTGGACGTTCGTACAAGATTTCAGGTGAATTACCCGGCGTGCTGTTTGTGTTAAAAACGTTTGACCGCTACGTATTGCCAAGCTCATTGCCACAAAAGGGGTCCGCAGCAGTAGTGTACGTAGTCTGTAGTCGGGAACGCGATTTTGAAGTGAAACCGTCGAATTCCAACCAGTCGAGGTCGGCCCGACTCCGAAATGCACAACCTCGCATCCCCGCATCCCCGGGTCAGGCACGCATTTGTCCCCTAGCCGTTGCCTTCTTCCACACAGCAGCAGGAAGACGGGTGGGTGCGTCTCTCTCCGCCGCCGCTTCCCAACATGATGGAGCGCTACACCAAGCAGGAGAAGGCCGGGCAGGGCACCTACGGCGTGGTGTACAAGTCCTGGGACAACGAGACTAACGAGTTTGTTGCTCTCAAGGTGAGCCAAAGAGCAAGGCCGGACGTGCTTGCTGCACGGCTGCTGAGAGGTACAAGGTCGCGGTCATTCCTCTCGGCTCCTCACACTGCACACACACACAGCACCGCGAGAGGTGCGATCTCAGCGTGACTGCGAAGCCTGCATGCAGAGCGAGCCTCTCCTCTCCGAGTGCTCCTGTTCTTCTTATGGCCCTTCCCCTCTCGTGCAGCTCTCATGGCGCTGCTCTTGTGCTCGCTGGGAGAAAACCGGTCGTTGGCATTTTGCGCCACACCGCTGTTTTCCCGCCCCAACCTGGATACCCCAGCTGTTTTGAAAATTGATGCTCTCAATACCCCAGTGCCTGCGGGCGTTTGTTGGCAGAGAGAAAGCCCATCATCCCCTACCTTTGCAAAGTTAGCTCAAAACGGTTTGGTGTTGGTGTTGGGTGCTTCTCCTCTGTGCTTGCTTATATCTCCCCCACAACAGAAAATCAAGGTGGAGCTGGAGGATGACGGCATCCCCGGAACGGCTCTGCGCGAGATCTCTCTTCTCAAGGAGCTCGTCCACCCAAACATCGTCGAGCTCAAGGTAAACCGGCCTCTCGCGAGCACTAGGCAGGAAAACACGCAATGTTGGTGTTCACAAGCCCTATGTTCCGATTGCAGCAGTAGAGGCAGGGGGCGGTGGTATCTCCATGGAGCCGGCTCTGTTTGGATTTTCGAAAATGCTCCGAGCAGCGGGCGTGTGCATGTACTGCTGTATGTATGTTGTATACAGCAGGAGACAGCTTCCACCACAGCAGTGTGTGGTGTGTGGATACACAACGATGGATGCGACGAGTTTTCCCCACAATATATATCCTGTAGCGGAGGGCCTTCGGCAGTACTTACACTCCCGAGGCTTGGTGCCCCTTCCTCACGTGGACACGATGTTCCGGTAGATGACACAGGATACCACCCCCTAGACCTATTTCAAACCAAAACAACCTGGCAAACTGCAAGCATACATGTACAGGCATATGCTCCGTGACCCTCTCTACGAAGGGTGCAACAACTAATACACCCAAAACTTCCCATCACCACCACGTGTTCATGTACACCTTCCCGGCATCACGCATGTGACGATGCACAACGATGACCACCCGACTACGGTAGGTTGCGTAAGATATCACACCCCCTGGGCCGATTTTCAAAGCTCGACTACTGCTGTACTTCGGCAAGGAAATACTTAAGTGACAGCAGTGTCGAAAATGGCGGAGTTCGAACCGTCCCCTCGAGCGCTTTCTGAAGGCGTATTGTTTGCCTCCGGCATCCTCTTGGTCGTGGAGTAATCAAGCTTTGAACATCGATGCAGGGGGCGTGATATCTTTCGTCATGTCACCTACGGCATGTTGGTGAGTCTGCTAGTTACCCACAAGGGAGACATGACGGCGTGCTGGTTGGCGTAGAGACACAGGTAGCACCCCATGACGCTAACTAGAATGCATTACCAATTTATCCTACCGTAGACCCTTTTCGATGGATAAAGATAGATTTTGTCAAGTTATACATATGAAGAACAAATGAAACAAAGAAACGAATCTCCACGAAGAGAATGGATGAATGAAACCCTAACTTCGGTGTGCATATACTCCGTAGTTCGGCATGCGTCGCTGCGGTCAAACAGAAACAGTCCCGGCGTGTGCCGGTATGGACTGCTGCCCACGTGGTCAGAGCATGCTTGCTCCGAAAGCAACACACCTGTCGGACACACCTGCTGTAGTGATCGGGGATGGTGGTAGGGAAAAGGTGATATCGAACCGGTCGCCCACCAGCTAGGCCGAGCGCCGGGGGGGGAGTGTAGCACCTGCCGTCTAATCCGCCGGCTGCATCGAATTACCGCTGCTTGCCCAAGGCGTTTTCTGCGCGAAGTTGTTTCTTCGCTGCGGTCTGCGCACGCGCGACCAGCCCTCGACCAATAGAAAAAAAACGTAACTGTCGGAGACATCGCTCCCCCGTTTGTTTCTTCTTCAAGTCTCGATTTCTTCAGAACGACTAGTAGGGTCTCGATGCGAAGATGGACGTTTTCGAAATTTGCTCGTCGAGAATTTCGTTGGAGGAATCGATCCGGTGTTGCTACCTCTTAAGTTGAGTTAAATGAGCACGATCGACCTTCTAAGACCAGTCTACGGCGTGCGATTTTTCTCCCATGACCACAACAGCACAGCTGCAGACTACATTGCTGCTGTACATCTGGTCCATTGGTTGTTCCCCACCCCGTATGTACCCCCCGCCCCGCCTCCCTGTAAGTTGCGGAATGTCGGTTGTACAAGAAGGAGATGGAAGTGTACATGACTGAGCTGGGAAAAGTAGAAGGAAGGTATATGGAAAGGTTTGGAGCATGGATTAGCCGGGAGAAGACGTTGGCTGTACTGGAGCATAGGAAGTGGGCTGAAATGGCGGAAAGTGACATCGATAGGATAGATGGACTCGGGAAGACATTTTTGAACCACCTTTGTCAAAGTAGGAAGGAACGATTGGCCATCGGTGATCGGTCTTGTGGGAACAATGTCGTCCTCTCGGGCGCGTCGTCAATGGGCTATCCGCTAAGTCGTGCAAGACTCAAGAGTACGCCCCCCCCTCTTCCCCTCGTCCGCCCTCAGAACTGTGTGCACAGCGATGCGAAGCTGTGGCTCATCTTCGAGTGGGTAGACCAGGACCTCAAGAGGTACATGAACTCCTGCAAGTCCAACCTAGACCCCATGCTCATCAAGGTACGTTGCGTGGGCGTGTCGGGGAGTTCCGCGGTCGCGACCGGCGGTCCAGCGGGGGGGGGGGGGTGACATGTTCCTCTTTCCCGCTTGTTTGTCCGGGTCGAATGTGGTGATATCCAGCGGTGCTCGAAGGCAAGCCCTGAGCTACTGAAAACCCCATCCTCCAGAAGCTAGTATTTTGTTGCCCCCCGAGGCCCGTGTCTTGTCACATCACCTTTGGGTGGGTGTCCTAGCGGCGATTGCGTCGTTCCTGTTCCTCGTACAGTATGCGGACGAGAACATGGTATATATGTGCACCTGCGGGGGAATCCGCGAAATGCCCTCAGCGCGTTCTCTACATATCTGTTGTGACGCGGCCCCCGCACGAAGTGATCAGAAGGGCACCCGTGAATCAATAAGTCTTCGTCTGGCAGCGCGATCGCCTACTGCACATAATCTCGTGTCCGTGTATTTATGTCGTTTCCTCCTTGTTGTTCTTTTCTTGTCCCAGTCGTACATGTTCCAGATGATGAGGGCTCTTGAGTTCTGCCACGGGCGAGGGATCATGCACAGGTACAGTATTCCTTAACTTTCGTTTGAGACCTTGCGAATGAGTTTTGTTTCTTTCGTTAGCGCTGTCGCACATCACTGGTATGATCCAACCCCTCGCAATGAAATTGACGGGCGTAGAGCCGCTTTCTCAATCCCGTCGCCCTTGTTTCGCTGTCGGTAACCCTCGCACGGGGCGAATAGTGGTTCTGCTCTCCTCAGACCAGGAAACCTACAAAGGACTGAGAGAGAGAGAGAGAGAGAGAGAGAGAGAGAGAGAGAGAGAGAGAGAGAGAGCGGTAGGATAAGAAATCTACGACGGAGAACAGGATGCATAGTTGACAAGTGTTTCGACTTTTGCGTCCAGCACGACCCTAGGTGCTCTCTGGCGCTAGTGCTGTGTCCGGCGCGTCGGCGGATATCTTGACGATGTCTTGCGAGTGTAGGGCCGCAGTCTCCCGAAAACTACGCGTAGTCGGTACGTATGTAGTTTTCTCGACGAAGCACCAAGCATCCTGGCGCACCCACGAGCTGTTCTCACGCGCAAAACTGCTCCGTTGTCTTCACCGGCCGCCTTCTCGTGAACACAGGGATCTCAAGCCCCAGAACCTGCTGGTTAGCCGCGACGGCACCCTCAAGATCGCCGACTTTGGCCTGGCCAGGGCCTTCTGCCCCCCCGTGCGCCCCCTCACACACGAGGTGAGCGTCTTTCGGTCGATCCCGACCCCTCCTCACGCCCGCGGGCTGTTGGTTGCCACTGCAGACATCTGGATTTTCCCCTGTTTTGGACGCTGTCTGTGTTGACTCTTACTCTTCCTTTCTTTTTCTGCGTTTTTCCTTTTGTAGAGGATCATGAGTTTTTCGCGCCCCTCTTCCACCACCCCCGCGCAAGCATGCCAACCCTGTCAAGTCGAAATCCCAGCAAAAAACACAGCAGTGCTAGACACACGTCCAGTTTTGACTGCAAGCCTCACTCTTCAAACATTACACCCCAACAGCCCAGTGGTATTCATGGTTGTTTCTGGTGTGAATCCCGCCTCAAAGCTCCCAACAAGTCTGGTACGGCGGTACGTTTTATTTTTGTCCGCTGCTGATCCCCATTTGTTGAAAAAAATCGCGCGTTCACTTTTGGGCTCTTGGTTTTGACCGGGTTTTTGGCTTTGTTCCCCAGGTGGTTACGATCTGGTACCGCGCTCCTGAAATCCTTCTGGGCAGCAAGACCTACGCGCCGCCGCTTGACCTGTGGTCGGTCGGAACCATCCTTGCGGAGATGGTGACGAAGACACCCATGTTCCCGGGTGACTCGGAGATCGACGAGATTTATAAGATATTCCGGTGAGAGAGAGAGAGAGAGAGAGAGAAAGAGCACGTGCTTGCCGCCTCCTGCCGTGATGGTTTCGTACCACGCGGGCTTTCATGGAATATAGCACAACACCGTGGAAGATGTGCAAGATCTTCCGGTAATGAGAGCACTTGTCTGGCATTCTGTCCACGTTGGTTCCGTAATTTTCCAAGGTATTTAGCGCATGCTTGTACATATCATACTGGCAACTTCATTTGGCGAGAGTGACTCGGGCCCCTATTGCAAGATGTAAACGTCGAAGCTCGAAGCACTATGATCAACAACATCACCCCCCTGCCTATTTGTCCAGGGTCCTGGGAACACCGACTGAAAGCAGCTGGCCCAACGTCACCGACCTGGACGACTGGAACGTGGGGTTCCCTAAGTGGCCTCGCATCGGCCTCGCCAGGGAGTACGCCGACCTGGGGGAGATCGGCATCAACATGCTCGAGGTGAGCAAAGCACGTCCTATATGGGGTGGTCACCAGCCTGAACATGATGGCGTGCGGTGCCTTCTCTTTCGGGTGCTAGGGACGACACAAATAGCCTGCTTCGTGGGTGTTTGTTTGTTTTGGAGGCCTGTTTTTTCGGCGACTACCGGTGCGGTTTGCGCTGGCTGAGACACGGTGGCGATGGTGGCCTTTTTTTTCCGGCTACTCTTCGTGTGTTTTTTCTGTTCGAGAAATTCGACAGCCTCAACGCGCACAACGCTGGTGTTGGTTATCGCGTTGTGTGTCGTTCCATCCCTTCGGGTTCGTTGAACCGTGTAGGTTTGGACGGCAGCATTTGAATTGCGGTTCGCCGCAGGTTCCCCTCGTCAGCATCGATCGACGATCACACCTCACGGCCGCTCTCTTCCCGCTCTCTTCCTCTCGGTCTTGTTGTTGTTGTGTGTTCTGGTGATGACGTGGTGCATGACAGCAACTGCTGGCGTACGACCCCAAGGCTAGGTTGTCGGCGAAACGAGCGCTGAAGCATCCCTTCTTCGACGACCTCGACAAGGCCTCGCTCATGTGACGGAAACATGGAAACTAACACCCTTGCTCGAATGTGACTAGAGACACCTTCCTTCGCATGTGTGCGTTTGGAGCACCTCGTATAACGTTAGCCAAACACTGCGAGTTCGCTCTGGTAATGTATTGTAGTGACGAGGTTTCTCGTGGGGCGTTTGGACATCCAACATCATCAATCGTAAGAATCGGGCTATAGCTAATAAATACTCCTTTCCTTGAAGGAATTACAATTTGACTTGAAGCGAATCTCCTCCTCACTGTGAGGTAGCGTGGTCTGTAGACTAGTGAGGTCCGTTCGGAATCGTCCTGGAAGTGCGCCGTATCTGTTGCGGTAGGACTCCGCGATTGTATGCCTTGCGTGGGTAGCTTGTCCGGCACCACGGGCAGTAATGCTGCAGTACATTCCGCGTATTAATGTAATTTCATGTATGAAAACCTTCCTTAAATCTCGGCTTTTCTCCTAGCCCCCGTGATTTGGCGGCGGGGGACACGAGAGGAAGGGGGGGTGACGCTGTATGTTTGAGGGCGTACGGGGGGCGCTTGAGCTCTTGGAGAGCAAGAGAGCTCAACTCTGTCGCTGGTCGGCGCGTTGGTACACTATATTTTGGTTGAAATAAGAGAAGGAGCTGTCTTCTTTTTTTGCTTACACGTCTGGCTGCCCACGTCCTGGTTGTATGGTTGGGGCGGATGGAGTGTGTTGGCTCGTCTCGACTCGGAGGTGTTCTGCCTCACGACAATATCTGTTTGGTCGGGAAAGGTAGCGGTTGCCGTGGGGGATGCGTTTTTGGAGCTTCATTGGCTCTTGCTGCATGGGACAAAGTGCTCTGCTTTGCGCCGAAGTCCCCGTAACAGCAGTAGCTTTGTTCCCCGAGACTTGTTTTGTTGTTTCTCCACTGCCTGACGTTTCTTTTTCTTTTTCTCGTCGCAGTATGCATGCGACGAAAGTTATCTTGGTTGTGTATGTACCCCCCCGTGAGCAATCTGCGCAGGTTAGTCTCGTTGGGAAGCGTATCCTGCTCGTGGGGGCTCGGGGGTGAGTTCAAGCGATGGGTGTTTCCCGTTGCCTAGAGTCGAGAGTCCGGATTGTGTTCAAGAATACCAGGGGCTCCGTCGAGGGCGTCCGCACGTAGGGGGGGGGACCTGTGCTTTCGATTAAGTCGTTTCATGTTTTCTCGGGAGAGCGTTAAGTCGATTCTCCCTTGATCTACATTGAAAATGAGTAAATAACGTCCAATATTCGCTGCCGTGTTGACGCGATTTTTGCTATGGATGTGGTTCCAAGACTCGTGGTACCGTCCACCTTTGCCTTTGAAACGAACGTGATGCCGATGGACTAGGGCTCCCTCGAAAAGGCTGCTACTGCTGTAGACCGCTCGAGGAAGCTTAACCTTGCTCAGAATACACCACCCCGTGATATTCTTCATCCGTGCTGATCTACATGGAGAAGGAGAACATGAGATACGTCAACCGGCACGCTTGCTTCTGCGACCTTCCTGTGTTCCGAAAACTCGGTGCCAGTCAGGTCTGCGTGCAGCGCATCAACCAGCTCTCCCGCAGACGACAATCGGTCCTACGACGACGGTGTGAGTATGCGTGCCGACGGTGAGGTCAAAACTATCGTGGCCGGCACGCGCATGCCCCCGCTCTCCGCCACTTCCGGCACGTCCTCGAGCCCGGTGACGAATATCGACTCCCCTGACCCCACCACCGGCAGGGGGGTCTCGCACACGCCCCCTCTCGCCCCGCCCGCTCGCCCGCACACGGTGACCTGCCGCGATGGAACGTGCGCGCACGAAATTGCGGCGAGATAAGCGCGGGACTGCTGTCACGGAGTGTTGTGGGTTCAGATTATTCGCAGAGGATACGAAATGGACTGCTGTGGGTGAGGGGTGCTGCGCTGAGGAAGATTTTGTTGCGCAAGACATGAGGGGTGTCGGTACTCCACACCCAACACCTGAAGGCGTTCGCACGCCTGTACCCCTTGGGACAGCGGGTACACCTTGGGCACGAGGAACAGAGCACCACCTTTTCGGGCGAGTACCGTAGCTTGCACAAGAGACCACCTGTGACCGATTTTCGAAGTCCGACCACTTGACCACAATGAGGATTCCAAAGTCAAATGATACGCTTTCCAAAAGCTCTCGAGGGTTCCAACGACGCCATTTCCAGCACCCTTTTCAGCGGAATACTCGAGCTTTGAGTTTCGGTTCAGGGGGTGTCGGAACATTTTGCAATTTGTGGGAGTTCTCCCGTAATTCTACCTACGGCGTCCCGCCAGTTGTTGTTACGGAAAAGTATTCATTTCGAGGAACGCTTTATGTGTAGTCCGTGCACAACAAAAAATCCAATAATTCCCCAGCACAAATGACAACTTTTCTCTGCACAGGTGGTTGTTCCGAAATCTGAACGTACCGGCAAACGCCCTGTTTCCAGGCGCATGGCGTGACGGAGAGTTTTTTTTTTTTTTCCCTTGACTTTTTATCCCCGAAAAAACAGGAAAACTTGATTCGTTTGCAGAGGGTGGTGTTTCATGCCGATACCAAAAAACTCAACGTATTTGGACACAAGATCGGAATTCTGCGGTTGGGATTTTTGTTTTTTTGTTAGACCCATGTTTATGGTCGCCAAATCTTTGAAAAAAATCTTCAAATGTTGTCAAACATTTGCGCGCGAATATCTGCCAGAGGAACATTTGAGTACCGTTTTTATGGGCAAAAAAATCTTTATCGTGTGGTTTCTCGAAATGCATCGCACGTGCGGCGGGAATCGTGGTCTACTGCTACCTATGGTCTATGACGTATATATATGTACACCTTCTTTTTTAAGGTCATGGACCATAGACTGCTACCAAACGATTTGTGACAGACAAACCACAAATGCGTCATGGAAACTGAATGGAACGAGCTCGCCAAGGGCTCCCCACAACCCTTGATGCACTGAGCTGATGCTGTGCCCGCCAATATGTGGCGATAGCGCTCCGGGCGTGCGAGAAAAAATGTTCTCGGTGTCAAAAAGAGACCAAAACGTGCGTAAGCGCTACCCAACGGCAAAAAGTCGGCCGCTTGAGAGGACACGTGAGTACAAAACTATCCAGCTCTCGTCCTCTAGACCATCGATTCATGTTTTGTCTTCTTGGGTGTCTTCTCCATCAACGACTCTCATCCGGTTGTGCGTGGGTTGGCAGTGGCCGCGCTCAGCCGGCAGGGAGGCACATCGTTATGCGCGCAAAGTTGTGGACACAACGTTTTTTTCGGTCTATTTTTCACTTGAATATAGAGCTCTTGTTCCTCCGTCCCAAAAAAGACTTTTTCAACACATCGAGTTCACAGCGACGCGCCTCCCTGCCTGTTGAGTAAGTCCACTGCTGAACCACGCACACCCGGATGAGAGCCGTTGATGGAGAAGACACCCAAGAAGACAAAACAGGAATCGATGGTCTAGAGGACGAGAGCTGGATAGTTTTGTACTCACCTCTCCTCTCAAGCAGCCGACTTTTTGCCGTTTGGAGACACAAACCACGCTTTCTCCGTGCCCTCCAAACCACCCCTGTCTTTTTGTTTTTTAGTGCACGCTTGACGAGCTCCCGCCATGTATCAGCCGGCACAACATTGACACGGTGACTCTAGGGTTGTCCGGATCCCTCTATGAGCTTGCTACGTTGTGCGCTACGCAGTGGTTGGTGTTTAGGACGGAAGGGGCGGTCGTGTACTAATCCCGCCGCTCTTGGGAAACACTTTCGCGACCTGCCCCATTTCAAAAATGTTTGAAAATATTTTGTCAAACGAGCGACTTTTGCCCCATTTCAAAATGTTTGAGAATATTTTGGCGAAGATTTTCTCCCATAAACAGTGAAACAAAATCTTTGTCCGCAAATGTTTGAAAATATAAACATTTTCGCAAAGATTTGGCGACCATAAACATGGGTCTTAATTGTCGAAATTGAAGGAGATATCAGAGAAGAACTGGATATAGAGGATCAACTTGATTCGTACAGCGCGACAACCAACGGACCGATTTCAAAACAAACAGCGGCAAACGATCCCTTTCATCAGTCTAAAGTTGGGCATTTTTGTTTTTTGCTGGGAAAAATCTGGTTTTCGAGATATTCGACATGTTCTCCCGCACCATGGCTGGTTTTTCTTCGGTGGGCGACACACCACGCACAAACAACTCTCGCACACGTTGCAGCCCGAATAACACAAAGTACCCACGCAAGCCGACGATGGCGCAGGAGGGAGAGGAGAAGGAGACCGAGAACGCTTCGTCGTGATGTGTGTGTTTTACGTGCGTTTGCCAGTGCTGTACAAATCTTTGTTCAACAGCTTTGTCGCGTTTGTTGTGCGCCTGGTGCGTGCGTGTTCTCTTTCTTTCGTGCTGGGTCTTCCTATTTTTCAGCACTCCCTTGGGGGTGTATATATAGACTGTTGGGTTCTGCATGCGAACAGACTGTACATGTGTTTTCGTCATGCATTGCGTAGTCTATATAATTTTAGTGCGCATCAGTTGTGAATAAAAGTGTGTGGACGCCGGGAAATTTCACAAAGGGGGCACCGTGGCATAAAATGGGGGTACCGTGGCGTAAAATGGGGGGCAACGTGTGAAATAGGGGGCTCCGTAGTGAAAAATTGGGGGCACCGTGTGATATAAGGGGCTCCGCGGAGGGAAATAGGGGGTGCCGTGGTGATTTAGGGGGTTCCGTGGATCATGTTGCCCAAAAATGTTGCATTTTCCCAAAGTTAAAAAAAAAACTCTGCAGCTATCGACGTAGCTCGACAAGGCGATCACGAATGAATGTCGTTGTTTCGCGTTTCAACTCTTATTATTTAAAAAGTTATCGCACAAAACGTGAATGGACAAATTGTTGTGCATGGGCCGTAGCAGGATGCTGTGACCCGTCCGTCACCAATGAAACTCCTGAATGTTTGGAGAAAAGGGCCCATTGAATCTTGTCAACAAGAGGATGTCATGTGGTGCTACAGTCACACGCACCGTCCGTCCGAAGGTGGCTGCCGTGAGGCACCGAAGCCGTGGAGCCTCGCAAAGAACGAACAAAAAAATCAGCACTCCGTCCCACGGGTGTAGGAAGGAATTTGACGCCAAAAACGGAAAGCGACGTGTGCGAGGAAAAATTCAAGCTCAGGTTTCTCGCTAACCCCATCATGAACAAAATTTTACACATATCATGCAGTTATCTCCGTATAAAGAAACGACTTTTCATCGGCGTAGCGAAATTACTTGGGTAGTGCTCTAAAGGAAAAAACAATGGTTGAGCTGGAATACACCGCGCACCTCAACGGAGTATGTACCCTGCTCCTCAAAATCGCCCGGCCAGCTCGCCCCTCCAACGGCGTTTCTAGGAAACAGCTTGAGAGGGACAAAAATGGCAACGGAAGGGCGGACGGGGGGGGGGGCGTCTGCCATTACACATTTCAATATACAAGTTGTGCAACAACGTGCTAAGGCGGAACTCCCTTTCAAGTCCTGCAGCATCAGTGGGCCCGCAACAACTCTGGGTTTACCCGAAAGCTGTGCTCTCTGAGCCAGCCTGCCTTCTGCCGTGGTTCATTTCAGAATTTTCCGATCAAATCTCTCTGGGCGGTACGGTTCACATACGTCGCTTTCCCCGCATACTGTTTCTCCTCCCTCGTAGTATTCATCATGTCGTGACCAACATGCACAAATGGTATTGTCACGAGATGCTGGACTAAAAGCGGCGGATTCAACAACAACGCATAAAGACACACAGCATGGTAGACGTTCTACAGAGCGATGCCACCCCTAACCGCATTCCCCTCCATCCGGGCCACCCCTAACCGCATTCCCCTCCATCCGGGCGTGAAGCGGCAATAGACAAGCCGAACAGCCCCCCGTTGGCTACGTTACCCATGGCCACACCGTTCGCAAAACTGAGGTCGGAGAGCCAACGTTCGAGGGGCCCATCGACAACGTCTAGGATCAATCCGATCATTTCAAGCGCGAGCGGTCTGGTCGTTATGCGCGGCAATCTTTCCTGGCCTGAGGCAAAAAGGTTATCGTGGAAATACAGGTAGCCTCCGCTGACGCTACGGATTCCTTGCCAATCTACCTTAGACTCTTTTCAATACATAGAGATGGATTCGTTGGGTCATATTAAGAAAAACAAAAAAATATGTGTGTTTTGAAAGCCCGCCGCCAGCCATCGCTAAACCGATGTGTCACCTTAAACGGTCGCTATGACCCCTGGGGATGGGCTACGATTCATCGCGGACGTGGGTAAGTGTTCGGCGAAACGACGTTGTCTTTCTCAGCTTTATGTGAATGTCACCTCCAGATTGTCTCGTAGGTTGTGACGTCAGGTGACCTGTTGGAGATCTGCCTTCGGGGTGTTGCCACAGGTATAGACGGCAATGGACACGCAGAACCCGCGTACGAGAACAGCCGGTCAGTTCCCCCCCCCCTCTCACTCATGATGCCTACCTCTACTCTACCTTAACCGGGTATCGTCCTCCCTCTCTCATGAGAGGCTGAGCCCGGGGTGCACTCCACACACTACGCACACACGAAAGAACAGAGCCAGTTGCGCAGAACCTGGAGACAACCGTCTCATTTCTAGCGAAGAGAAACTCCATGATGGCATGCAGCGCGGGCTACCTGCATCATGACGGGAAACTTGAGTCGGTCCATCGCCACGCTCGCTCCGAGGGAAGGCTTGCCACCCCTCTCCTTGCTAGCCGTGATGATCATACTCGCACCGGGAGCTTGACCAGGGTCTGGGAGCAGCCTGGGTGGGTAACAGTGAGGCGGCGGCGTTGTGAGCAACATCTGCACGGGCAACTGCTGTGTATCCACAGGGTGTGTATGGGCATACAGCAAACCTGCCGGTACTGTGGAAGCCTTTCGTGTAGCGTACATTCTTCGCTCAGTGCCACCGCGTTCTCAAGAAACAGAAAGTACGCAAGCCCAGAGGGTCTAGGGCCTGTTCTACTATATTCATGGCCAAGAGGTCAAGCCCGTCGCCGCTTAGGGATTCTGCTACGTTTACAACATGTGATGAACTTGCAGTCTGCTGTGGTTGTGGAGTCTGAGCCAGCACCGTATGGCGCACTAACAGAAAGCCAAATGCTGGTGTGTGTGCCGCGCCAAAGCAGACTACAGCAGCATTGCTTGCAGCTGGCCGTGGCAACAGCGTGCTAACTAGGTTGCTACACAGCGGCATCCACGAGAGACGAAGGATGCTCCAACGCAACTGTCTCTGTGAAGCCTATGCGGTACTCTCGTTCATGTTTGACGTTATACTCTGCTGTTACTGGTACGCACCAACAGTATACCACGCCTAGAACTACACAGCGTCTGCGACAGCTGACACATGTTGACAGTTCAACGACGGCTTGCCAAGCAATTGGTCGCCCACTCTCATCGTTCGCTCTCACTTTGTCCAGTCAACTTCCTCGTCGGCAAGTTGCACGAGGGCCTCGACAACAGGCTGCTGACCGCTCGCCGAAGCTGCGGCGGCGTCGAGAGGCGCCGTGACTGATGCACACACCAACACCGAGAGGGCGGCAACAGTAGATGCCACACTCTGCACCCACGTGCTCCTCATGTGGTTCGGCTCGGTTGCGGTCATTACTGCTGTAGTCGGCGGGCGCCTCTGTGCTCTTGTAGGTCCCCAAGCTGCTGTCATGCGTCGATCGCCTCCTGTTGCCGAGAACGATGAGTATTTTGACCCCGCAATCAACAAAGAAGATGAGTCACGCACGGCCCAGCACGCGCAGCAGAAAATGGTTTCGATAGACCTCTTCATGTTTAGGGCGCTTCCGCTTCTTCTGCTGCTGCTGCTGTTGCTGTGTGGATGGCGCCTGCTGCGAAGAGAGGGGAGAGTCAGCTGGCGAGTTGGGAGAGAGTGCGGCGGGATTCCAAACGAAATCTACGAAATCTACGGAGAAGAGCCAAGTTTTCGGCAGCATCTCCGATCGGCATTTCCCACTCACGTGAGCCGTGAGCCGGCTGGGACGCTATTTACTGCTCGACACTGCTGTACATCACCTAGACAGGGATTTGGAGCGTGACCGCCAGCCAAGCGCTCCTCAGGATGGCCAACGAATGCGCCCGAGGGGCACTCCGAGGGGAAGAGGAGCGGATTTTCGACCTTGCTGCCGAGACGTGCACACCCAAGCAGTGGGCCGGGTTGATGCAGCCTTTCCTCGAGCATGCCGCGGGTCGGGGACATGAGCATCTGACCAGAAAGCTGGTGGAGGCAGGGGCAGAGATCGGGACCGCCGTGCACGCGGCTGTTCGAGGAGGGCATTGTGATATAACGGAGTTTCTGCTGGAGAGCGGGGCGTCTGCGAGCGCCAGCGATGAAGAGGGCCTCACCCCTCTCCATGTCGCCGCTGAAGCTGACCAAGGGGAGATCGCACGGTTGTTGCTGCTGCGGGGGGTTGACCAAGACTCCTCGAGCTACGAAGGCCGCACGCCGCTAAACTGCGCGGCATGTCTTGGGCATGCCGGTATGGCGGAGGTTCTCTTGTCTGCCGGTGCCGACATCAACCGACGCTACGGTGATCGCGAGATCTCGGCACTCGATATCGGGGCTGGCGAAGGCCATGTCGACTTCATCAGGACCTTGATCGAACACGGAGCGGACGTCGATGCCACTAATTACGGCGGCGTGGCGGCCCTCCATCACGCCACTGCCAACAACAAGGTGGAGGCGATGGATGTGCTCTTGCGAGCTGGAGCCAACGCCCGATCGATGTCTGAGAGTGGACATACCGTGTTGCATATGGCGGCGATCACGCGGACCCGCACCGAAGCCGCTACCCTTGCCGTCCTGCTAAAGCACGGCGCAGATGTCAACGCCCAGACGGTGGGGGGAACTTCGGTGTTGGAGTACGTTGCGACCAGGGCTGGCAAACAGGGCATCGTGGAGGTGGTCGACCTCCTGCTGAGGTGGGGCGCAGACGAGACGCACGTTGCCGGAAACGGCATGCGAGCCGCTGATGCGATTGGCATGAAGGTGCCAGAGGAGGACCGCATACCCGAAGAATTCGAAGGCGTGCGCAAGCTCTTGGCGAACGCTCCCGCGGACAGGGCATGGCGACGCCGGTGCTCGCTGGTGTTGTGCCGCGCTCGACCCGACAAGATGCAACTGAGTAGCGACCGGATAGCAAGGTTGGAGGCGAGGGTATTGGGGTTAGTAGAAGAGGGCATTTTTCGTACGATCGTGAGGTTCATTTGAAAGTTGAAATAGGTATGGTCACCTGCTGTCTGCAGGCGCCCGTAAGCGCACGGCTTCCATTTATAGCACAGAACACAGATCTTGCGCGTAGGTGTCGTGGAACCCGGCATTCTGAGGTTATTGTTTGGTAGCATGTTGGAGCATGCCTTCGGTCCACGTCATTGATCTCGATGTATCTACTCCTCCTGGTTCCTTCCTGTAGAGAAGAGCAGATACTGCGAAACGCTTAGCTCGTATCGCATTTGTCCTGCCACCTGTACAGGCCTACCGCATTATGAGACCAACTTTTTTTCTGCCGGTGGTGCTTTTGCTTGCAGGTTGGCGTCCGAAGGGACTTTCATACTTAAGCGTAGGAGTTGTCCACGTAAATCGTGCATCCAGCCACGGGGTTTCGTATATCCCCAACCGTGATGTGTACAAGTACATGTTGCCTGTTTTTCTCAAACCCCAGGCATGAGTCATCAACTCTCTTGTCACGAGAGGTCTCGGTACATGGAAAGTCTTCCCCACACGTGTAATGAACCTGGGCAAAGCAGGGATTTGCCCCACAAATCGGTTTTATCGGCTAGCTGTTCATAGGTTTCCGGCAGAGGGCCTGCGCAGGCAAGCGCGTGGATAGTCTTGCGAACACTGCTGTGCCATACTCGTTGGAAATTCGACGTATGCATATGAACACCATGTTGTTGTTTGAGTCCCAGGACGCTCGCGCAAGCTACTGCAGTAGACCGTGCGGACGTGGTGCCTTTTCGGAGTCCACATCATACCGATACAGAATGACCCGGGTACACACAGGTGTGGGCATGGTTGCGCACGGCAAACAAGTGTGCGTGGGCACCAGAATGCAGAGATACTATGAGTTGTTGGTGAGTTTTAATATATTGGGACAACTGGAGATGCGCATGGCATGCGAATCGCGTCGTCGGCGTGCAGTTTTGCTTGAGCCGATACGTTCATTGCGTTGTACCAAAGGGGCTTCGACTTTTGGCTGTATCGAAGACAGGCGTTGCTATGGTGTAGCACTACTGACGGCCGTCGCGATGCGCCGCTGTCAGGTTACCGCCGTTTAGTGACGCTGATCGGTGTGCTGATGCAATGTCCGTCGTCATGGCCGGAGCAACAAAGCGCTGTTGCAACCGATGGGACAGTACCCTCTTGTCCACTTTCGTGGCAAACCTCAAGAGAATGCCCAAAGCGGCATACCTTGTGTCCTTTACGTGCATTGACGTTCATTTTCATCGATAGCGATGCAAATGAATACCGTAAGCCTCCTTTCGCAACACATGTGGCCTGCATTGCCTCAACTTGTGTCAACTCAAGCCTCAGACGCCTACACCGCTTGGGGTATGTTTTCACCCTCTCCAGTCCGTGACGGCGGCCACCACGACATCCAAATCAACTGTATCACTATATTACTCGAAGGGAAGCCCCAAACATACAGGACGTTGCGACGTGGTCTCACAGCAAGTGGAATATCGGGTGAGGTCTTCCTAGTGAACTCCCGTTCGTGCCACGTTTGTTCCCGCCCCGATGACCTTGCTCTTCCGTGGAGAAAAGGGTCAAGAGGTGTCCCCTTGTCGCCGCAGGTCCTCCCGCTAGCATATTCTTCGACCACTTTTGTTAACGAGAGGAAGCCTACGTCCGTCAAGTGGCGTATTCGCCGTGCCTCCATCGAAACTAGGAAGCCCCTTGCCGCATACCTCATCAACACCTGTCCTGTGTGTGTGCCTCAGTATCCTTTCGTAGCTTGTTGTGGTGTGGTTCTTGGCTGTTTTTGCTGCGCGTTTGTCTCCGGACACCTACATATAGAGCTGCTTCCCTAAAACTTCCAATGAACCACGTCAAACCTAAATTCTGCGTTGATGAGTGACATTGACATCCGGGACCCCGGGTGTGCCACACTGCTTTCAACGGCAATACCCCGGCGCGCGGCAAGTGGGGTGGCGAACGAGGGCCAAAATGAGTGGGGAAAAATTTTTCCTGTCAAGAACTGGTGAAAACATATGGCTATTGAGGAGTGCGTTTCGCAGAAGGTATGTCGATAACGATTGACAACCCAATGCTATCCTCGAAAAAAGGTGAAATTTGAACTTGCTCGGTGCAATCGCCACCTGTACACGCGACTGATGTGCAAGGGTGAAAGGGCTCTGTACTGTTTAACCAAGACTGTAAGTCCAAGCGTATAACTGTCGTACTACTGTAAGTCCAAGCGGTCCACACCTGGTGCAGCAGTGCGACTTCGAGAGGCTCTTCGATATGACCGTACAGTAGTAGAAGCAACAGACGTGACGCACTGTTTTTTTGAAAGAGAAAACAAGATGCGGTGAACAGACTCCCCTATTTGCTTGCACCAATAGACATTCACAATCGAGGAAAGCATGCCCCGCTCCGCCAATCTCAGCACTATTGTTGCCATCCTAGCCAAGTTTCAGCATTCACATCGTTTCCCTGGCACTGGCTATTCTGGATACCTTTTCCCGACGTTGCGCCACTACGTCTGCGAACCGTTTGCCAATACCACCGCTCACCGCCCGTCTCGCCGTGCCGTGTTGGCCGCTGAACGTGCTGCAACAGGCAGTCGTCTTTCTTTGTTGACGGTTGGTTATGGAGACGTTCTACATTATGACTTGTTGGTGGCCGAAAGCATCTGCCCTAATCAGTGATGGTCTTACGTCCACCAGACACAAGGAGGGGGTCCACCATCGCCGCGGCCCGTCGACTCCCCACGCTGGCTGTGGCAGTGCGTGTGGCGCTTGCTCTTCCCTGGCTTCTGCGTTGACATACAGCCCCCTCTCGCTGACAAGGGTGATCATGGTTTGGTAGAAACCTACCTATACATGTGATGAGAGACGTTTGCCGCCAACGGCATGAAGTAAATCCAGTTACTTCGTCATCTTCCCTCGAATGAATGTAGTACTCTACGTGCAGAGTTTGTGTCGGCCGTCTGGTATTGGGCGCGGGCAGCTTGTGAGTGCCGTCAAAGAAGGAGTGATCACAACGACCCCACGGCCAGGCAAGACCCCATGAACGAGTCTTGTCTCCTCTATTCGCATAGCCTACAGTACGGCGGTGGCGCGATTGTTGTACTTCTTCTGTTACAATGTGCGTAATTTGTCTGCGTGCTACAGTATACTTGCCACGTCATGGCAAGTACATAGAGAGAGCATCATTCTCCCAGCAGCGACAGCGGCCTTTTCGCATTCTATTATTACATAGGTAAGCAGGAGGAGATGTCGCAGAAGTCGAGATGTCGCAGAGGTCGGCTTAGAACGCTGCATCTCTGCGCACCAACAAGCGATATCCAGCATCACGTTTTTACCACGATGAAGATACGCGAGGTCGTGGCTCATCCAATTCTGTGTCAATGGCACGTACCACAACTTTTAGTGGCTCTGTTGTCCTCGTCGCTTCCGTACCTCTTGCCCCCTCTCTATTTCGTTGCCTGAGTAGCTCGGTTTATTAAAGTAGAGCGTGTCTGGCCCAGAGTGGGCCTTGACTGCTGTGGCTTGAGTGAATGGATCGGCTGTCACATCATCAACATGATGGAATGTGGTCTGAATTTGTTGTGTTTACTTTTTGAACCCGGGGACTCCGTGAAATCATGAGCAGGGCATAAGCTGGTCGCGGTTAGTAGGGCCCCTGCATTCATGCGGCAAATGCGAAATCTCCGACGGCAGCAGCAACCCATCACTGCCCCATGTCTGGCTCGTCGCGAAGTGCCCGCACCCGTGCCGGAGTGGGTGGACGACCATCCCAAGGAGAGGGGAGAATGAGTTCTGGTGCTGGTGGCAGAGCGGTTCCCTCAACCGGTGTTGCTGGAGGAACAGCAAGAAGGGACAGCACGACGACGACGAGGCGACCTAGAGTGCAACGGCAGCAGCAGCAGCAGCAGCAGCAGTTGCGATACAGCAGCCCGGGAGAAGAGAGGGCCGTGAGGATGGAGATAGAGAAGGGGCTCAGGCTGCGGAGGCTGGAGCAGGTCCGCCAGCAGAGTCGGCAGCAGGCGGCGGCGGTGCGGGAGGAATACCGCAGGCGGCAGGCGGAGAACAAACGGGCCGCTCTTCAAGAATCTAAGGTGTGTCCAGAAATTCAAAAATATGGTCTCTAGCGGTTGGAGGCACGCGAGTTGCCGTTGTGTGCCGAAACGAACAGGACAGCGCAGCTTGTTGTGCAGGTGCGCTGGAGGAGATTGTCAGACTGTCTGAAGGCATATTCGTCAGAAATGCACTAGCCTGCTCTGTGAAGGTCCTGTGTACGTACTTCATCTCGCACGGAAAGACTTGCTTCAGTTTTGAGTCAAACACATCACCACACCCGACCTACAGCCTACAAGCAGGGAAGTCTTGCTGCTGTCGTACCCAAGATACTGCTGTTGTTGTCGTACCACAAGATACAATACCGCAGCAGCAGTACGACAGTATTGCGTGTGCCCGTTGCCTGGTCGATGCCCCCCTCTCTCTTCCCCTCCATCATTGTTCTTGAGCCCAGTGCGCCGGATTATATATGGAATACGTGCTCGCATGTCACCTGGTGGGTATGTAGTCGTTCCATGATTTCTTCGGTGTTTGTCCTTCTCTCTCCGTGACTATTGTACAATACTGTACAGCAGTAGTCAAACACCGAGTCAACTGGCATGCGCTAAAGCAGCTGCCGTATCGTAGAATGAGAGGATACACGGCACCCGAACCAGACCGCCGCAGAACACCGTAGCGTGCATGAGATTCCACACACACACCCTTGATCGATTTTCGAAGCTCAACTGCTCCCGTCCAGCAACAACAGCGGTGGCTGTTACAAATGGGGGCGTTGGAACATTTACATTCTCGCCGAGAGCTTTCCGAAAACGTCGAATTTGATTGTTGGACTCTCTTCGTCGTGGAGTAACCGATCTTTGACTTCACGGGGTGTGATGTCTTATGCAACCTACGGGTAGCATACATCTTTGGTTTCGAGAACGCAGATTCGACGAGCTCTCGGTCCGGTCCGAATCTATTTTCAGCGCATACAACCTCCTCAGCGTCGACGGCTACCTTCACACGGGTAGGCTAGTGGCAGCGCTGAAGCACAACCATGCTGTATGGTCGTTGCCCTGCGTGAAACGCTGTTGTGTACAGCGAGCGATATATGGACAGTGTTGTTTTTTACAGCCAACACAGAGGACAAGATTCTGATGCCCCTGGTCTGGTCTACTGTACCTACGCTGCGCTGAAGACGCCTGTGGCGGCACAGTTTGGAATGCTTACTTTTGTTGTGGGCGTGCCATCGCGGGTCATTGAAAAAAATCCCCAGCGCCAGTTACTGTATATTCTCACATCCCGTCACCCCATGACCACGACCAGACCAACGTACGTCACCACGGGCCACCCGCTTGACCACGCGATGTACCATGCTTCGCGCCGTGACCGAAAAGACGGGGTCACGGGGAATGTACTGTAAGCGCCTATAATAGAGATACAAGCGTGAGTCAATTTCTCACTGGTGGTTCCACAGATGTGGTGCAAGTTCTCTCGGAACGCCGCCAGCGCTGCCTCCGCGCGCCCTTCACGTATAGAGACTCGTGGAAAATCCTTGCGAAGAAGGAGAACACCCATACGTCCTACCACTTAAGGAAGCCCTTGGGAAAATATGAAAATGTGCACTTGTTGAGTTCGTTTTGTATTCCAATCGATGTCGGAAAACAGCACCCAAAGGTTCACCTGAGGAGGCCCTTGGGAATATATTTCCTTGTAAGCTTGGTGTTTTGTACTACATTCTACGGAGTACTTGATGGTCGGAAAGCATGGTCCAAACGCCCACGTGGGGATATATAAGTCCTTCTAAGCTTGGTGTTTTGTACTCCAATCTACGAAGTACCCTGGTTTGTCGGAAAGCATGATCCAAACGTCCATCGAGGGGAACAATTCGTTCTCCTACGTTTCGAATTTTGCCCCCAATCGATGTCGCTCGCATCTCCCGTCCCCCTCTCCGTTCCCACCTTCAGAGACATTTCGAAGACAACCGAGCTGCCGAGCTGCTGAGCTTGAACCAGCAGCTGCAGGCAAAGCTTCTGGAGGTGGGTACGGCGCATCGGATGGCGGCGTGTAGCACGCTGGCGAGGGAGGGAGAAGAAGAGAGGTGAGCCGTGTTCTGCCCCCCCGCCCGCTTGGGTAAGGCATGGCCTACCCTCTCCACGTGCCGTGTAACATGCGTTTGCTCACAAAGTGCGTTTGTGTGTTTGTGTGTGTGTGTGTCTCACCCGGAGGTGCGCCGGAGATGCTGAAACCACTGGAGCACCATTTGCTGCTGCGCTCGGATTTTTGCGTATTTGGCGGCAGCCTACGGCAGTCTTGAGGAGAGAGAAGCAGGCAGGCAGGCAGACAGACAGACAGACAGACAGACACACAGACAGACAGACAGACAGAGATAAGGGACTTGCTTTTCGGCACTAGTGTATTGTGTGTGAAGCGTGAACGGTTATTTTTCGTGAACGATGTGCAACCCGACAAGCTGTCGTTCTAGCAGCAACGAGAGCTCTTTCCGGTGCCTGGACAGATTTTTTTTTTTTAGAAAGAAAACACACATCCCCACCGATTTCTTGGGAGTCCCTCTTGGTGATTCATCTCCGACCAGAACAACAAACACCCGCTCGCGGGGCGAACTCAAGTGTGTGATGGCAGTACTTGCGCTACGCATGTCACGGCAATGACTCGGTACATCAACCCCAAGTATCCATGGAAAAGCGTGAAGGATCGCGGATTTTTGACGCGTGTTTGGCGGCGGCCTACGGCAGTCTGTTCTTGGCATGTATTCCAGACGAAGAACATTGCTGGACACGGGCTTGGGGCACGCTATTGTAGCACGTGTCCCAGTAAAGGTCAAGTCTATTTTAGCACCCTGGACGAAACTCCCACCACTGTCAGGTTGAGGGCGAAGCGGTCGGTGAGTGCGGAAAGGCGGCGGAATAGAAACCTGTTGGCGGCGACCAAGAGGGAGACGGAGCTGAGGGAGGCCAGGAGGGAGAGCGACTTGGCCCAACAGCGACAGGAGGTGCATGTACATCGATAGCTGCAGAAGCACCACCCAGTTGCGTTTATGCTGCATACACACCTCTCGCCGTTTAAACTTCGTTAGCTATTTCCGTTCAGCGATGTCATGTGCGAAGAGCACACCTGCTGTCTTCAAGCTGCTTGGAGCAGGATGTGGAAACAGCCCTATGTCTGCGGTATGTACACATGGCCGAAAACTCACCCCACCTTTAGCTACTTTCGCTATTCCATACCACTCGCGCGGATTTCACCAACTGCCAATTCCTACGTTTGTATGCTTGCATACCACGGCATTTTGACGGTAATCTAAGCTGCATCGGTGAGCACAAGGATTAAGGACTCATCGCTTACTGGCAACCCGCAGGGGATGAAACGACGCTTCACTTGCAGCATTCTACCGTAGGTTGCACAAGATACCACCCCCTCCCCCCGTCCTTGGACCGATTTTTTCAAAGCGTGATTACTCCACGACGACGAGAATATATATCTTAAACGGTATGTGTTCGGATCAGCTCTCTCTCTCTCTCTCTCTCTCAACGAGACAAATTCAACGCCACCATTTTTCGGCACCGCGACTCCATCTGCTATGGAGCAATCTAGCTTTGAAAAGTCGGTCCAGGGGGTGCGATATGTTTGTTTTCCTCCTACGTTAGTCGTAGGCAGTAACAAATGGGCAGTAGGATCCTATCGACACCATACCGAAAAGTGCAACCCCACTGCTGCCCACGAAGTGATTGGGTGGACGTAAACTTTCCATCATCGATGGCCGCTTTTGGAAGGTGTGGAAGGACGAGGGGGATGACGAGCGGTTACGGGCGAGGGAGGCGGCAGTCATGCAGGAGGCGGTGGCGGCAGCTAGGCGCGCTCGGGAGGAGTTTGAGTCGGAGCGGCTGCGGCAGCGGGCGGAGAAGGGGGGATCGGTCAGGACCACTCAGGCACCCGTGGTGGAGGTGTGTATGTGTGTGTGTTATCGTGATTTAGCATCGACCGCGCCCACCGGCAGAATAGGTAATGAGCAGAAGCCAGTCTTTAAGCGGGATTAATAACGCGAACAAATGTGTGTGCATGTTTACCTATGTTGGATTGGCACCGACCACGCTAACCGGCTGACCAATGAAAAGAGGTGTGTGGGTGTAGCTGTAGCGCATGTGTTGTTGCATGTGTGTTGCGTCTTGTTGACGCGACCTCCTGAACCGGCTGACCAATGAAAAGACGTGTGTGTGTTGGGCGTGTTGTGCCTTGTCTTTTGTGGCGATTGGAGGGTGTGGCCCATGTGGTCGCCGCCGCGCCTTTTTCTCTTCTCTTGGCTCGTGTTGTTTTATTTTTCTTCCGCATGCTGCGGATGATTTTTTGTATCATGTTATGCCTTTTCTTAAGAAAAACCGCCAAAACCCTTCGCAGGTGGGGCCTCGACTCGAGGATTTCAAGACGTCTCGCGTGCACGCCTCCTTCGTCTTGAAGCACGGGAGCACACCCGGAATCAGTCTCATGGGTGAGTGAGATAAGGGATGGGCCGGGGCCTGTAGTCCTGTTGTGTATGCCCCCCCCTCCCCCCCAGACCGCGGGCGTGTGTGACGGGTGCAGTTTCTTGTCGTGTCGAGGGTGCTTTCGGCGGTTGCTGCGGTTGAGATTGATGCTGCTGTCGCTGCCGTTGATGCTGCTGTTGTTGATGCTGCTGTTGTTGATGCCGAATACGTCCCCAGTGTTGTATTCTTTTTATGATGATGGTAATGACGAATACCCCCCCCGTTGTTGATGCCGCTGCTGACGATGTCGTCGTCTTCGTTGTTGTCGTCGTCGCGGTCATCATCGTCGTTGACATCGTTGATGCGGCCGCGGTCGTCCTTGTTGCTGGTGATGTAACTTGCCGCACCGTACCGCACCGTAGCGTACCGTACCAATGTTGTGCTTGGGTGTTGTCGTCCGGTTTCCCAGGGGTGGAGACCGCCGTGGGCGACCCCTCGAAGGAGTTGGAGCGGCTGGAGGCGTCGGAGAAGGAGCGGGAGGAGGCGGAAGAGGAGGCGGGCTACCGCGCGGAGGAAAGGGGACAGGTCAGCACACGCTATAGTATTAAGTGTACAGTTGGGGGTCCTACAGTGATGGTGTCGGTACGCACCCGCCAGATTTACCGGTACTTTGCCGGGCACCCGGTACTATGTATTCAGGGAATGAGACACCTTGGGGTGTCACTCGATTCCACCTGTACTGTAACGAGCAGCGGCATTCTTCAACTGGTACTTTTGAGGGAACCCCACTGTATCTAACATGCTCAGAACACTGCTTCAGACGACAAGCACACGTGCGCGAATTTGGCAACCAAGTGATAGTTGGCCGCCGACTTGACCTAAAGTTCTGCTGTTTCTTTCAGGTGACAGCGCTGGGACATATTCCATGGTTTTCTTCCATCTCCCGTTAGCGATAATCCGCGCATAATATGGTGATACACGCCAGTCCGCCTTCGTTCTCAAACGGCAGTAGAGTACAGGATCAAGGAGCAGCAGTTTTGGCTTCACTTCCGACAGTAGTTGCATCCGCTTCCCCCTTACTTACCTGCTTGCTGCCTCTGCTGCGGCAACGGCTGTTTACCAGGAGGCGTTCATGCGGTGTAGGAATCAAAGGGCCGCCCGAGTCGTGGAGGCGGAGCTGAAACGCCTGTCCGAGCTGGACCGCCAGCATCGACTCAGGAACGGGGCTGCCGAAACCAATCTCGCCGCGCTTCGGGAAAGGGTGAGCGAGACGGGCGGTGCAATGGTTGGTACCCCCCCCCTCCTAGCGTTGTTTTGTGGTCGGGGGGGTTCGTGCCGCGCCCTCGGATGTTGTGTTGGCATCACTACTGATGGCATGTCTGCGGATGGCATCTGTGATTTGGAATCTTTGACAATGCGGCGGGTTTGGTCCCGGTTCGGTCGATAGCCTGGGCGTGGAACACGAGTTGGCGTGTGTGTGTGTCGTGTGTGCAACGGCGGTGCGGACTATACACCTCTCGAACATCTAGATATGCAGTCGCTCGTTGTTCATGCTGTTTGAAGGATGTGTATGTGTGTTATTTTCTACTATGCATTAACTATCCCGCTGGCCAATGAAAATACGTCAGCCCGTGTGGCTACCAACGGAGAACTCGATCTGGTGTGTGTGTGTGTGTTTGTTTAATAGCATCGACCGTGCTAATATAGTCGACGACCTTTGAAAATACGTCAATTGAAATGAGGCTTTAAACAATTCAAAGAGCGCATGATCTGGCGAATGCATGCGTTTGTGGGAGGTGTGAGGGGGGGGGGAAAGGGGCATGAACCCGAGCGAATTTTTCTTTTCTTTTCACCTACGTCATGGGCAGACGGTCTCGAGCACGTGTTGCACGTCGCGATGGCGCGCGAGTGTGCCTTTCGATCATCGTTCTCCCCGAGAGCTCCCATGCCATCTATCTCCCCTGCTTGCTTAGCGAGTGTGTGTGTCTTGCGTCCGCCGCACTTCCCCTTGTTTTTCGTTCCAGGAAATCCGGCGCGCTCGGTTCGGAGGGGGGGGGCGCGGAGGAGAAAGCATCCGTGTGCCCGGAACGGAGATGACGAATCTCCGGGAGAGGCGTCGCCCCGCAACCGGGGATCTTGGGCAAGGAGCCCCGGGTTTGGCCCCGGAGGTAATAACACCATGTCGGGACGGCGACGCGCCTTGCTGCAACTAGGCTACTACTACTGTAGCTTTGACTATTTTGACAATAAAGCTGTGTTAAGCTTGTGGAGGAAGTATGAGCGTCGAAACCCGCTGGTTTTGGGCGAGAAGCTACCTTGCTGCCTCTTTTGGTTTGGAGGCATGTGTATGCTTTACTGAGGCAATCGTGTTTGAACAGTACATGTTTTCTTTCAGGTGTTGTGGAAAGGGGGTGTCTACTTTATTCTTGATTGGGGCAGGGGAAGGATCCCCACGAGACAGGTTTTTGTCCCGCGCAGCACCTTCTTGTTCGACCAACCCCCCCGGTGATGGCAGCGCAGTGCCCATCACCAACTTCACACACAAGATATCGCGTTGGCTTGCTCTCTCGTTGATCGCTCTATGAAAAATGAGATCGTGCTTCTGCTCTCCCGTGTGTCCTTGCCGGACCGACGATGGTCGACATCAGTAACACACAGCTGCAACGCTTTGAGGCTATCACCCCAACAACAACGGCTCTTCTTTTTTCTCTTCCGTGCGTTTGGTGCTTACGAGTGCCAGATCGACGACAGCGAGTGGCGGGAGTGGCCATCCTGGTGGCCGACACCACCCCCGCCCACCCCCGCCGTCGCCGCCGCCGCCGACACTACCGCCGTCCACTCCTCGATCCCCGCCGCCGCCGTTGCTTCTTCTTCCTCCGCATGGCCGTACTCCGGACGCACACCGGGGCCGATGCCACCGGAGCAAGAGAGACTCCGGCTGGTCCGAGAGACCCGGCGGGGGCTTGTCGAAGCGGCGGCCAGGGCGCAAGCGCAAGGGAGCGGCGGTGGCGGTCGAGCGGGGGCAGCGACGGGCGGGGAGGGCAGCGGCGAGGAGGAGGCGGGGGCTGGCGTCTCGCCGTACCCTGGTGACTCGGCGGCGGCTGGCGAGGTTTCTGTGTCCGGTGGCGGTGCTGTGACGGGGTTGTTTGCAACGGCGGAGGGGGTGACCGCATCGGCGGCAACGGGAGTGGGGGGAGAACAGGAGCAGCAACAGCACCAGCAACAGCACCACCACCACCACCGGCAGGAGGAGCAGCAGCAACAACAGCAGCAGCACCAGCAACCGCCTATGGATCTAGAAGAACGCCCTCTCTCTGCCAGCCGGGAGCGCCACCATCGATACCCTGCGCAAAGCGTTTATCCTCGTACAGCCGGCGACACTGGTGGTGGCATCACTGCTGTCGGCATCAATGCTGTTGGCATCAATGCTGTTGGCATCAATGCTGTTGGCAGCGTCGGCGACGGTGCGGAGGAGGAGGTCAGCCAGGCAGAAGAGACACTCATGGCCGATGCACCGGTCGCGGCTTCGGGAGCTCCCGGCGACGAAGAATCGGCGTTCTTTAGTCAAGGGAAGCAGGTGGGTGCAGGAGGGGATCGGGGACGGAAGTGGTTATCGGGGCATGGAGCCGGTAGGAATGCTGCTGCTGCTGTGTGCCGTCGCGTGTAACACAAGGTTTCGATCATTTGGGGGCGTTTCGGAATAAGAATAGTCGTGTGGTGACACCAGCTGGATGACACAAAAATTGTACCAACGGGGAGTGAGTCGCGCGGTGTTGTGTTGCGGCCGCTCGCCATTGCCGACACCGCCGTCGCTCATTATTCGCCTAGGACAAGCCCCCCCCCCCGCAATATATATTTCCTGCATCCCCGTGTTGACATGTACCCACCGCTTCAGCCCCGCTGTTGTCGTTTCGAAACGAGAAACACTCGCAACTTTGCGGGATGATGCTCGCCCCTACCCCCCCCCCCCCCTCCCCCCTGCTCCCGGGACATAACATGTCAAAAAGAGCCCGAATCCCGGTGGGGACCCAAATCCGAAGGGTTCCCCGCGGGCCCCTTTTGTTAACCCCACGGGGGGGGGGGGGGAAGGGGGGGGGGGGGGAAACGCCTCCCCCGGAAAGGGGGGGAATTTCCCCAAAACCCCTTCCCTAAACAAAGGGGAACTTTTGGGCCCAAAGAAGGCCTGGGCACCGCCGAAATTACGGCGGGGTTTTAAGCAAGGTCCTGGGTTCCCCCGGCTCCCCCCCCCTCCGCTGAAAATGGGGGGAAAGGGGGGG